TCTGAACATCTAATCATCATATGAACATCTAACCATCCTCTGAACATCTAAACATATTTTGAACATCTAAAAGTAATATGAACATCTAAATATTCTGAACATCTAAACATCTGAACATATTCAGAACATCTAAACATCAAATGAACATCTAAACCTATTCTGATTATCTAAACATAATATGAACATCTAAACATCCTCTTGACATCTAAACATTTTCTGAACATATGGATTTCTAAACATCATTTAAAAAGTTCTACCATCCCCAATCAACTTACGGCATGTTATGATGTATAGGGAAGTTCAGTGAGAAATAAGCCAGTACTTTGGATGATGACTCATTAAACCAAAAGTAAAAGACAGAGTACTTGACATGACAACGCATTTGTTAAACGATACAGGAAAAGAAAGAGTACTTGGCATGACAACGCATTTGTTAAATGATACAGGAAAAGAAAGAGTACTTGACACGACAATGCATTTGTTAAACGATACAGGAAAAGAAAGAGTACTTGACATGACAATGCATTTGTTAAACGATACAGGAAAAGAAAGACTACTTGACATGACAACGTATTTGTTAAACGATACAGGAAAAGAAAGAGTACTTGACATGACAACGTATTTGTTAAACGTTAGGGGAAAAGAAAGAGTACTTGACATGACAACTCATTTGTTAAACGATACAGGAAAAGAAAGAGTACTTGACATGACAACGTATGTGTTAAACGATACAGAAAAAGAAAGAGTACTTGACACGACAATACGTTTGTTAAACGATGTGTGAAAAGAAAGAGCACTTTACACGACAACACAATTGTTAAACGATATGTGAAAAGAAAGAGTACTTGACACAACACATTTGTTAAACGATATGTGAAAAGAAAGAGTACTTGACACGACAACGCATTAGTTAAAGGACATGGGAAAAGAAAGAGCAGTAGATAATTACTTTGTGTTTAACAGGGTAACATTAGTTTAAAACTGGTACATTTATAGTGGATGTTCAATGTTTTATAGATTGTAATATGGAAGGCTTGTGGGAAAATACAATCTTAATTCACGTTCCAATTTCAAAATGAAAAATGTTCACCACCATAACACCAAGGATGTGATTTGTTTTGTTATATCGATAGGTTTGCAGTGTGTGTAAATTAAATTGAATCAAGTTTAAAAATACACATGGACATTTATGAAACAATTTAGAGACAAAATATATTGTACCACATCATGTAAATTACTTTAGGGGCCCTGTGTTTAGAAAAGTGATATGTGTCTTATTGTTTGTTTCTGCATGCTAATATTTCAGGTACAGCCTAAATAATGTTATGATTGAAAAACAAGCAATTTAGTATATTTATCAAAAATGCAAAGCTGAATGTGCACTTTAACTGGGGAAGTCTGTAAAGATAAGGAAGCTATATTTAAGTCAATGGAACACTACATATATAGAGAGCATCTCACCCGGGTGAGACTTTATTTATCAACAACATCATTCTTCCAGTTTGTAGACAGTGATAAGAAGTGTCTTGGTGTAAAAGGTACTGCTAACAGCATCAGTAGCCGAGCCATTAGTGATGTCATTTGATTGTGACGTCAAGCGATATCTCCTGTGGGACCCAGTTTTGGATGGTAAATACTACTAAAATACTTGTGAGAACTGTTCATCCATTATAGTCCTCTCCTATGAATAACTTTTTACACTGTCTCCCTCCCTCACTATGAAACATTTCATGTCACTTATCCAGTGTTGTATTTAACCTGAAAAAAATGTAACTGTGCTTCATACAACTTGAATGAACATGTTTACACTTAAACTACACAAAGTAATACGTGGTCATGACTCTTCCACTTTAAGGTGGGGCAGTCATGTAGCATAGTGGTTAAAGCGATCGCTCGTCCATCGAAGACCCGGGTTCGATTCCCGACATGAGTACAATGTGTGAAGCCCATTTCTCGTGTCCCCCGCCGTGATATTGCTGGAATATTGCTAAAAGCGGCGTAAAATCAAACTCACTCACTCCACTTTAAGGTCATGATTCATAATGCGAATGTGCATGTCAGATTGTTAATGCACGGTCACAACTTGGATGTTTGCGTGTTTGTAGAGAGCATGATACTCCTACACATACAAGCTGCATGTGTTGTAACGGACATTTTGAGTCAGTGTCGACTTGCTGTACTGTCATGGCCGGCTGTTTCGCCAGACCTTCCCCATACAGAACATAGTCTTGTGTGAGACGGCCGATGTCAACGACATGACTGGAACCAGCCAATAACGCGAGCTCAGTGGGTCTCCCCTGGCTATTTCTAATAATCTGGTGTCTTCAATGCGCCGACGCTGCCTCGCCTGTATCAACGCAAACAGTGATCACACCTGACATTGTTAATTGGGTTGTTGCGCCATCCCACTTTTAATCTGTGTCACTCTGTCTCCTGTGACCATGTATTGGTTTTGCCAATGAATTTGTTATGATAAAACATTCATCAGACGAATTACCAAATATTATTTTCAACTGTTAGTTTGTTGTTTAACGCTGCACTCAGCAATATTACACTTATATGACGATGGTCTGGAAATAGTCGAGTCTGGACCAGCCAATCCAGTGATTGACATCATGAACATCGATCAACGCATTTGGGATACGATGATATACATCAATAGTCGCCTCTTACGACAAGCATAATTGTTTTTTGCTCAAGATGTATTCTATCCCGGATCTTTACTTGACTATTTTCAAGTGGAAATCCTTTACACCACTTTATATGAAGTACAGTTAATTTCTTTCCACAAGTGCACATACATTACATTTTGAAATTTGTAAATACCATGGAGAGGGCAGTAAAAGTGAATGAGTGTTTAAGTCAATGGAAGCTTCTGATATACAGCTACGATGATATAAACATTGATGTAAATAAACTGACAGACCAAAGAAACTATACCAACATTGATTTGGTGTTGAGAACATTATGAAATATATCACTAAAATATAGTGTTGCGAGTTGGAAAGAAAATTTATCTGACAATGTTCTGATTCAAGTTCCTCAAAAGGTTGCATTTACAGGAACGTCAATATCTGGTAAGGAATGACACAAGAGAAAACGCATTTTTTTTCACAAATGCATTACTGTCAGTATCTTGTATGGCCTCCATTGCTCTGAATAAAGGCTTCGACACGTCACCGCACGGAGTTTATAAGATCTCTGTTGACGCCATTGGGGATGGCTTGCCATTCTTCCAACAGTGCCTGAATCAACGTTTGACGACTTGACGGAGGGGGATTTATTTCCCTTATTTGTCTGTCCAGATGGTCTCACAAGTGCTCAATGGGTGTTATGTCAGGCGATCGTACTGGCCGTTGCAAACGGTTTACATTATTTGCAGTTAGGATGTTAGGTGATCCTGGCGGTGTCGGGGCGAGCGTTGTCCTGTTGGAAGATTACTCTGGGATTCCTCTGGAGGAAGGGAAGCACCACAGGAAGCAATACATGGTCGATGTAGATCATTTAAATTATGGTCAAAGACAACCAGGTTTGTTGTACAGTCCCTGCAAATCCCACCCAATACCATGACGCTTCCACCACCGAATGGCACGGTCTCCTGAACACAACATTGGGCTGTTCTCTCTCCTCTCCGACGATACACACGCACACGGCCATCAGCTCGATACAACTGGAACCTGCTCTCATCAGAGAATAGAATTGCCAGAAGTTGCCAGTTCATGTTTTGCCACCGCTGTACCATTCTTGATCAATGGAGGTGGTTACGTCTGTCACGACGTAACAAGGTCATCCCGCGAAAGGACCGGTAGGCCTGATACCGTATTGTCGAAGACGCCTGGCAACTGTCCTTCTGCTGACCACGTGATGTAATGCTGTGGCTGCCGATAACGTCACAGTGACGAAACGATTGCGTGGGTGTAAGATGCGGAGGTACCGATCTTCATTTGCGGTTGTGACCCTGGGTCGTCCACTTCTTGGCCTGTCATCTGTACGACCTGTTTGTGTGAGTCGTGTCTGCAGCCTCGTTATCGTTGTTCTGGTGCAGTTGAAGATGCAAGCAGCATGGGCATGGCGTGCTCCCAACTGCAACATCCCAATTGCTCTCTCTCGCTCTTGTGCGGTCAGTCTCGGCATGTCAGCTGTTGTGGTCGGTACGATTGTGGTGTAAAACATACAGATTGGCGGATTTTATACCGTTCCGAGCAATTTTGTCGTGATGCACGTGCATCCCATTTTTAATGAAAAAAGTTCCATAAAGTCCATATTCGGGGAGAAGCAGGATTTTTAAAACTCAGTAATGATGAAGCTGCGTTCATGCGATTTTGTTTGACAAAGAAAACTCCAGCTCAGTGCTGATGTCATATATTTTTAAATAAAAAATACTTTGGTATAGTTTCTTTTGATATAACAGTTTATGTTACTGCCATTACCATGGGCGAACATACAGCAGATCAACAAAAGAATATCAGTCCATGGTGGTATTATTTACACCAATACCATGCAAAGAGTTTTCCTAGTAAAAATTATGACTAGTATTATTTTACAAAAGCATTTCAAACATGTCTACAAGCCTAAAAATATCGCATGCAATATAATAATCTTTTCATGCACAAATTTCACTGCGCTTCTCTATGAAATGGTGTGTCACCTGCATTATTCTGTACATTCACATCAGCCCCAGCCTTCAGCAACATATCAACACACTCTGTAGATCCCCACAATGAAGCTGCTGCTTTATGAAGTGGTGTGTCACCTGTATTATTCTGTACCTTCACATCAGCCCCAGCCTTCAGCAACATATCAACATACCCTGTAGATCCCCGTCCTGCTGCTGTATGAAGTGGTGTGTCACCGGTATTAGTCTGTACCTTCACATCAGCCCCAGCCTTCAGCAACATATCAACACACTCTGTAGATCCCCATCCTGCTGCTTTATGAAGTGGTGTGGCACCTGTATTATTCTGTACCTTCACAATAGCCCCAGTCTTTAACAACATATCAACACACTATGTAGATCACTGTCCTGCTGCTTTATGAAGTGGTGTGTCACCGGTATTATTCTGTACATTCACATCAGCCCCAGTCTTCAGCAACATATCAACACACTCTGTAGATCCTCGTCCTGCTGCTGTATGAAGTGGTGTGTCACCTGCATTATTCTGTACCTTCACAATAGCCCCAGTCTTTAACAACATATCAACACAATATGTAGATCCCCGTCCTGCTGCTTTATGAAATGGTGTGTCACCTGCATTATTCTGTACCTTCACATCAGCCCCAGTCTTCAGCTAAATATCAATACACCCTGTAGATCCCCACAATGAAGCTGCAGCTTTATGAAGTGATGTGTCACCTGTATTATTCTGTAGCCCCAGTCTTCAGCAACATATCAACACACTCTGTAGATCCCAGTAGTGCTGCATTATGAAGTGGTGTGTCACCTGTATTATTCTGTAGCCCCAGTCTTCAGCAACATATCAACACACTCTGTAGATCCCTGTCCTGCTGCTTTATAAAGTGGTGTGTCACCTGTATTATTCTGTACCTTCACATCAGCACCAGCCTTCAGCAACATATCAACACACTCTGTAGATCCCTGTCCTGCTGCTTTATGTAGTGGTGTGTCACCTGTATTATTCTGTACCTTCACATCAGCCCCAGCCTTCAGCAACATATCAACACACTCTGTAGATCCCTGTCCTGCTGCTTTATGAAGTGGTGTGTCACCTGTATTATTCTGTACCTTCACATCAGCCCCAGCCTTCAGCAACATATCAACACACTCTGTAGATCCCCGTTCTGCTGCTTTATGAAGTGGTGTGTCACCTGTATTATTCTGTACATTCACATCAGCCCCAGCCTTCAGCAACATATCAACACACGCTGTAGATCCCTGTCCTGCTGCTTTATGAAGTGGTGTGTCACCTGTATTATTCTGTACATTCACATCAGCACCAGCCTTCAGCAACATATCAACACCCTTTGTAGATCCCCGTCCTGCTGCTGCTGCATTTTGAAGTGGTGTGTCACCTGTATTATTCTGTACGTTCACATCAGCCCCAGCCTTCAGCAACATATCAACACACGCTGTAGATCCCTGTCCTGCTGCTTTATGAAGTGGTGTGTCACCTGTATTATTCTGTACCTTCACATCAGCCCCAGCCTTCAGCAACATATCGACACACTTTGTAGATCCCCGTCCTGCTGCTGCTGCATTATGAAGTGGTGTGTCACCTGCATTATTCTGTACATTCACATCAGCCCCAGCCTTCAGCAACATATCAACACACTCTGTAGATCCCTGTCCTGCTGCTTTATGAAGTGGTGTGTCACCGGTATTAGTCTGTACTTTCACATCAACCCCAGCCTTCAGCAACATATCGACACACTTTGTAGATCCCCGTCCTGCTGCTGCTGCATTATGAAGTGGTGTGTCACCTGCATTATTCTGTACATTCACATCAGCCCCAGCCTTCAGCAACATATCAACACACTCTGTAGATCCCCACAATGAAGCTGCTGCTTTATGAAGTGGTGTGTCACCTGCATTATTCTGTACCTTCACATCAGCCCCAGCCTTCAGCAACATATCAACACACTCTGTAGATCCCCACAATGAAGCTGCTGCTGCATTATGAAGTGGTGTGTCACCTGCATTATTCTGTACCTTCACATCAGCCCCAGCCTTCAGCAACATATCAACACATTCAGTAGATCCCCACAATGAAGCTGCTGCTCTATGAAGTGGTGTGTCACCTGTATTATTCTGTACATTCACATCAGCCCCAGCCTTCAGCAACATATCAACATACCCTGTAGATCCCCGTCCTGCTGCTGTATGAAGTGGTGTGTCACCTGTATTATTCTGTACCTTCACATCAGCCCCAGCCTTCAGCAACATATCAACACACTCTGTAGATCCCCGTCCTGCTGCTGTATGAAGTGGTGTGTCACCTGTATTATTCTGTACCTTCACATCAGCACCAGCCTTCAGCAACATATCAACACACTCTGTAGATCCCTGTCCTGCTGCTGTATGAAGTGGTGTGTCACCTGCATTATTCTGTACATTCACATCAGCCCCAGCCTTCAGCAACATATCAACATACCCTGTAGATCCCCGTATTGCTGCTGTGTGAAGTGGTGTGTCACCTGTATTATTCTGTACATTCACATCAGCCCCAGCCTTCAGCAACATATCAACACACTTTGTAGACGTCCACGTTGCTGCTGTGTGAAGTGGTGTGTCACCTGTAACATTTGAACAATGGTTCACACTTGCTCCTTTCCCTAGTAAAAACAAGACAACCTTAGGATTGTATCGAAATGAGCTGTGAAGAAGAGTATATCCGTCAGATGACGCCATGTTAACAGTAGCACCCAGGTCAAACAACGTACTGATAATGCTTAAGTCCCCAGCCTCACAAGCATTAAACACAGCATCACTGTCGACCTGTGCTCTTCTGTCTAAGAATAACTGCACCATGTCCATGTTGAGGCCCTTACAAGCACATCTAAGACCTTCCTGGTTGTCTACTTCACATCCTCTTCTCACCAGCAGTTGCACCACCTCTACGTGGCCACGTTCTATGGCACGGTATAGAGGGAGGTTGTTAACATATAATTTATGCCCACTGTAAAAGCTGGCTTTGTCTGATGGCATATAATGCTTGTTAACATCCACGCCCATGTTTATCGTAGATTCCACAGCTGATGTAAGGCCATATTGGCAAAGGTAATGAAAGACAGTTTGACCTAGGTGGTCTCTTGCATACATATCAGGGGCAAGGGACAGAATGTGATTAACAAACTCACTGTCCCGTGTTTGTGCTGCTAACATAAGTGGAGTTTGCCTCTCCCAACCATATCTACCATTAATGTCAAGCTTCATGTGCTCACTGATATAGGTCAGTACACTACAAGCAGCATTCATGCACACTCCATGTAAAATGTCCCTTATTTCACTCTGGTTGAATGATACGTTTTCTTTCTCCATAATGAATTTGATGAGATGAAATGACTTGTTGCTAGGAAGTAATTCACATAATGACTGTTCTGAAGACTTATCATTTAGTTTCAGAATATCGGGAACAGACATGTGACCTTGTTTCTTCACGCAGCCCATCAGCACCTCAACGAACTCTGCTATACAACATGCCTGGTGTGATAAAACATGCAACAAATTGCTCCTTTCAATTTCAGTTGCAAATCTTCTTGCTAAATCTCCAGCACAGGTCCACGGGATGTTTGCAACAAGATCTGTCTCACCAGCAACGTTTTCCCCTGAATTTGAGGACGGTTTAAGACAAATTCGCTGATGGATGAATGTCAAACTACAATTCTTGATGACAAACAATGTTTGTTTTGTACTGAGAATAAAAGCAACACTGTCGTATACAGATGGATGATTAAACACGTATGTGCCATCTTCTTTCTTGAGATAAGAACCAACCAAATCATCAGCAGCTGTTATGCATTTATACCCATAGATAACATCCTCCTCCAACTCTTGTCCACTAATCTTCCCATCTCTTTTAATCATAGCCATGAACAGTGAACGCTTTATCTCATCCTGAAGAAACTTTTCCATGGTGTTCATGAGGAATTTAAGAGGTGATTGAAAGAAAGCCACCGCTTGATCTTGAGTCTGACCATGTTCATATTCTGTGACAAACATTTTACAGACATGGGGAAAGCCGTGTGGACAGTCAGCCTGACATATCCGAGACACAGTTGGCTCATCAAAGTCTATGTGTTTTGTTTTGGCATGAACATGCCATATCTTCTTGCGCTCATCTATGTCTCTCTGTGAAGTGACTTCAACGACGTATTGGGGACTGGATATGTAATCTGCCAGCCTTCCTAAATCTGGCAATGCGGATTTCAGCACATAATCCCGGCCAACGAGAATACTGATAGCTTTGCCTTTGTTTGGTCCTGTTCTTTTTACATGTGTTTGTTCATCTTTAGTTCTCTCTAAAGATGTTGGAATTTCAGCGGACTTGTCTCTCGGCTTTTGTTCAGTATATGTGTCAGAATTGTTCACATCCACAAAAGGTTGTAGACTTGGTCTCCACTTGGCCCACTCTGCTGCATCAAATTCCAGATCACCGAATATGTCATCTAACATAATGACAGGATCAGCACAGGCAGTTATTACCTCATTGAACTCTTCTGGTGACACCACCTGATAAACTTGTTTCCCGTGAAGGTGCTGATCTTTGAGGGTCATGTAGGCTATTGTAGACTTCCCCTCTCCTGGTCTTCCCTTGATTGTTACCCATGTTGCTCCTCTGTCCAGCTTGTCTGTCACCTTCTGCAGGGCTGCTGTATCCACCATGTCTTCAGTCAACGACTGTATCCTGGATTCCGTTCTTTCTGTGGAAATAAGACAAATTAGATTTATACTGATATGTATGTACTGCCACTGCACTATAGCTCACAGATAAAAATGATGAAAATGTCAGCATTCGTATAAACAAAAATTATACATATACACTGAAAACTAAAACGTAATACTAACTTCTAATTATTTGAACAAAATATGATGTCCTTTACCATAAAAAGAAGCACGCCAAAGTTTAAGAGGAGACGTTTACAGAGCAAAATATGCATTTTGAGAAAATATAACGGTTATGACAAAGACAAAAAGTAAAAACAATGCAGAAAAGCGACCTGAACTGGAGTCTCACAATGTACAAGTACCAAATTTTACCATTACATTTTGTACAAATGAGTTCCTCAAGTGGCAATAAATATAATTTTAAATATGTGCCTTGCTATTCATATTGATATTATTTTATTTAAATGACCAAGTAATGGTTGTGACTTAAAACTCTTGACTAAATTCATGTGCAATCGCTGTTGGGAACAAGCAAGTGACGTTTCCAATTCACTAGATTCACCAGAAGTAGCTAATGCACCTAATCGCATATAAACACGGACCATTAAAATGGCCTAAGCTATTTCAAGTAGATCCTGGTCATGAGTTCATGGGATAAGTAACTTAAATGTCAACAAAACAAGATGTGGAAATTAGGTGTGGTGAAAAAGAGGCCCACCGCAGTCAAGCTATCGTCAAAAGATTTAACCGAACATTAGCGGAACATTTGTTTGGCTATCAGTACGAAATTGAAATGGAATCGGATCGATTAAGATCAACCGAATTGGTGACATGATTATCAGCTGTTGTATCAGCACTGAATAACGAAGTAACAAGATAAATCGGGAAGAAACCATCCGATTAGAATGAAATCTGTGACTTCTGAAGCTTCAGCACCGAGAAGAGGCAAAGAACAAAAACTTCCAGATAGCGTAAGTGTAAGATATTTATACCAGCCCGGTGAACACAAAGGAGGCCAACGTCGTGCAACCGATCCGATTTGGTCCCTTAAGACCTATAACATTAGTTGATTGGTTACAAAAGAAGGAGAGCCTATTCTTTATTATCTTAAAGATGGTCTGGGCAGGGCATTTGTACGAGAAGAGTTGCTCATAGTTGCCAACGATACAGTATTACCACCATAACCATAAGCATAGGTAGTTACACCATCCTTATCAATCCATCTCTTTGTATCTAAGGGGGATAATGATGTCATTCTTAATCCATATATCCCATGATTGTAACTTCTTAAAGAGTTCATCTCGTGTTTGAATGTTCTACCATTGAATAATGCTTCTTTATACTGTTCGTGTTTGATATGCTTTTTTACCACATACTTCTTAACACCCTTAGCTTTTCTTATCTCTCCATTATCGGACTTCCTTATAGAATACATCTAAGGTCTTAATCCGACATACTCCGCTATAGGAGTCCCAGCACATTCATCCTTCATCTTACCTTATACCTTTTTATTTACTACACTGTGCAGTGGGTTATCGTTTGGGTAATTGCTCGTGTCGTACATATATATTTTTTTTCTGCCATATCTTTATATACATTCTTGGTTTGTATTTCCATCAACAAAGAATCTGTGTCGGTTTATAACACCTCGCATATATCGCCATATTTTTAAGTACAGATCGTGATAATCACCTAAATTATTACAACCTAATTTATCCAACACCATCAGAGCGTGTTCATAATCAGCATCGGTTATTTTAGATTTTGTTAAGGTACTATAGAATGATTCAAGGGGTGTTAATTTAGTTTCGTCAAATCTAGACCAATCATTCATATATTCGTAAGGATATACACCTTTTCTCAGCAACCAATGATGCGTTAACCTATCGGTATATTGATTTGTTATCGCAAAGTCATCGGGATTGCTCGGATTAGCTAAATTGTCCAGGGATGATAACAGAAACTGTACAGAGTCTATAAATCTAAGTCCATTACTTTGCTTTATTCTGGCTTTCCCATCCTTGTCCGTATAATGTATAGTTTTAGTCAACGAGAACGATATGTATTTTCCCATATTATTGATGAAGTACGAGAAGAGTTGCTCATGGTTCCCAACGATACAGTATTACCACTATAACCATAAGCGTAGGTAGTTACACCGTCTTGTTTATTCTTAATCCATATATCCTGTGCTGTGTTCTACCTATGAATACTGCTTCTTTATACTGTTCGCAACAGTCGTTATCAAATATATTGCTTCTGTTAAAAGCCGGACTGGCTATAACTTTCCTAAGTCTTTCTTCCTCATTAGATCTGACTAATTTAATATCAACACGCTTCCTCAGATTATCCATAGTTTTACCAAATTCTGAGTTAATCATTAGCTTATATAGATTCTTTTCGAAATCGCTGGTAGCCATCTTTCTTAAATCTGTGTTCAGTCTTATGTAGGGCTCCATCCAAGGTCTTTGGTCAAACTTTAGAATTCTGTGTATTTTCTTTAGTTTCAAACCTAACAATAGATATAACTGGAGATGTCTGTAGTGAACTATATATTTTGTCTTATCAATAAAATTTGGTACGAGTTTTTCAACGTTAGCTAACCTAGTATTACCCATCAAGGAGTGTTGATATTCTGACATGCAATCTTTATTGACCATTAATCTTTCGGGGGCTAGCGGATAACTGTTATGGTCTCTATGTAACTCTGTTGGATATTCCAAGTCAACTTCTAGTAGTGGTTTCAGACTGCCTTATCTGTTTCATATTACGATCTATGCATACAGATTCAGAGTGACAAAACACTCTCCACAAGACTGTATGACAAGAGGGCTTCAACGTTCCAATAGTCAACTTTCCCTTCATGTCCATCAATATTTCAGCAGCTCCAGCCGAGTGAGTGAGTGAGCAAGCAAGACATGGTTTTACGCCATATTGAGCAATATTCCACCAATATCATGGCAGAGGACACTGAAAAAGCGCGTCACACTTTGTACCCATGTGGGGAATCAAACCCGGGTCTTTGGCATGACGAGCCAACGCTTTAACCACGAGGCTACCCCACAGCCCCACAACGTTTAAGATCGAGCATGCTCTTTCTACCAAGATTCCAAAGAGTGTATACAACTCTTGCTCAGAAGTTGTTTGATCAAAGTTACCACATTCAAGGCCTCAGTAAAGCTTGAACAAAGGTTGACCGAGGACATTTTCACATTTGACACATCAGTGACAAAAAATATGTCTGATGCAATTCCCTGCAGTGTTCTCGTGTGTTTTTTTCAGATGAACAATTGACTTGACTTTGCGTGTGTTTGTGACAGGTGCCACTGGTGGGTCAAAATACGCTCAACTTTTCTTGAACACCTGGTATCATCACTTTTGATAGCGATTCATAAACACATGTTCATGATATAGTCGGAATCGTACAATCGACTCTGCTTTATGCAGAGATTTCTATTGGATATGGAAAGGGTTTTGTTGCTTTATATAATATTTCTGAGGAGATGCTGTTTACAACGGATGACATGAAGACACACGACTTTGGGGCTTAACATATGTAAAGTAAACATTCTTCAAGATTGTAATTGGCCACCCTTATTTGTACACATGTCCTGTGAACATTGAATATTGTCAAAATGCTGTGAATAGGTGTGACCAAATCACTTTTGAAACCAGTTAAAACAAATGTCACATTTCATCTTTTTCAGCATTTCTCAAATCTTCAATATATTTTACTTAACGTTCTGTACCAGAGAGTTAACAAAACGTTTGGATATTGACTGGTTTGACAATGAAGCATAACACATTGTACATGTGAACATCCTTCCAAGAGCATGGGTCTTCAGAGAGGTACACAATAATCATAAGAAGTTAAAAGAAGATCTATGGTATGATTCCGACGATACCATTTGTTTCTAAATCACTATCAAATAGTCATGAAAGCAGGTGTTTGGAAAAAAGGTGAATGTATCCTGCCCAACGAGTTGAACCCGTCTGCATTGTTCACCTGAAAAACACGGAAACATCAGTTAGAAGGTAAAAAAGGGAATTAAATTGGATATCATTTTGGTTACTGATGCATTCAGTTTGCATACCAACCTGCGTATGAATACATACACATTAGTGAAGTCTAGATATGTTTAATATTTGTATGCATATTCTGGAATACTCCTTAATGCATTAACTGCTGTCTTTTGACAGAGAGACGAACTGTGTGAGATCCGGCTGCTGAAGAAAAGTTGTTCCAACCAGTAGAGGCAGCACCCTCGCACGTGGCCCGGAAGTCATTACGTCACATCAAACCACATAACTGCTTTAAACATAAAATCTGAAACTTCATGGGGAGGCAGCATAGCGAAAGTTGGACATGTAGAAGAAAGACGAGTGGAGTTGTTCAAAGGGAGCTATCCAAAGAACCTTTAAGATCACATTTAGATCCCACACAGGCAGTCTGAACTTGGCTTTCTAGTCTTCTGGAACGAGCGCAGCAAAGCCTTGGATGGCAAGAACGGAGTTGATGGCGACCAGGTATGTGGAGATGGTAGAGTCTTTCAACCGACGTTGACAAACCAGAAACCAGACAGGAACTGCAGTGACGCTGTCATCGGATCCTGGTGTTGGACGCACCCATTCGCCAGCATTTAGACATTACTCACGTATAGCCTCAGATGTTTGGGTTCCCTAACCCCATGACAGCCAATCTGCCCGTAACTTCAATGATGTTTATGCCTTACAAAGAGCCTTTCACTCTAAACATGTTACTGCAAATTTAAATAGGTTCCTCAATCACTCCTGATGACATAAAGACTTTTGCAGTTTTGCTTGTGTGCTACTTTGGTACGTGACTGCTGGAACTGTATCTGTAAAGTATGCCAATCAGATGTGAGGTTTACTGAAAAAGGGGCGTTTCTGTTAGTACAATATTAAAAAAAAACATTCAGCTTAAGAACAGATGCCTTTATGTGATGCTACCCCTGAATCCCAGGCATCCCTGTGTCCAACTACTCATGCGTTTCATTCATATTGCAGGTTCAGCGCCCCCCTCAGCGCCAATCTTCACAGGGACAATTGATAACTAGTTCAGTGAACTGTTTTCGGTCACGTGTGCGACATAACTTGACCGCGCAAGCACTCTCTGTGCACAATAATAGCCTTCGGGGCAGCGACATGGTTGCTACAGACCATCAAGGTCCTTGTCGACAGGCGATCATTGCATATAAGTAAAGATAAACAAACTGCCCTCAGCTGAGCAGACAACTTACTCCTGATCTTCTGTGCCGCGGTCAGTGGTTCCTCCGTCACAGGGACTTTAGTTACTGTAACAGAAACAATATGACTGAAGCGTTCATGGATGTTGAACTTTGATATCGGATGCTCAAAAACTCAAAACTGATATATACTGAACAACAAAAGTTCCTGTGACATTGAAAAAGATTTAATGCAAAGTTATGTTTTTTACTAAATCTGAAACAATTTCGGATTGAAACAGATAAAAGACTCCTGTAAGTGTCCAAATGGTTTAATTTGCCATACTGACTTCAGAAAATGCGAGATTTCATAAAAAAAACATGAACATGCCAAAATGTAAATTAACAAATCAATAGCGTGTGTGTCCACCTCTAGTTGCAATGCAAGCAACACATCTTTCTTCTCATGGAATGGACCAGGCGTCGCACAAAGTCCTGTGGGATATCTGTCCATATCTGCTGGCGCATGTTTCGAAGTTGACTTAGAAGGCGCCGATCCATCTCATCCCACATGTGCTCGGTTGGTGAGAGATCAGGGGAGCGAGCCGGCCAGGGGATGACATTCACGTTTTGTTGAAGAAATCCTGAACAAGTCGAGCAATATGTCATGTTGGAAGGTAATGCCTGGGCTATTCCGACGCAAAAACGGTAGAACGACAGGGCCGATGATCTCTTCGCGGTAGCTCTGTCCATTGAGATTTCCCTCTATCAGTACCAAACGGGTCCTCTGTCTTGCTGTAATCAAACCCCATACCTTACGCTGCCGTCCCTGAACCGATCTTCTTCCATGACACAATGATTAACGTTCACCTCGACGTCTGTACATTGGAATCCGTCCATCGCTGTGGCTGAGGTGAAAACCAGAGTCGTCAGTGAATAGAACTTGTCCCAACTGCATGGACGCGTAGACGCTGTCTGCACACTGTAGGCACGCTTGACGGTGGTTTCCTGTCAAAATGGGACGTCTAGCGGGTCTTCTGGCGACAATCCCTGCACATCTGAGGCGACGACGTACAGTTTGTGAATATATTCGACGAAGGCCATGGATGCTTCTTGCAGTCACTGTTGCTGGCTGGAATCAATTTCGTAGGTGTGTTGTTCGAATCCAGTTGTCTTGTCGATTATTGGTTACGCGTGGCCTGCCACTCCAAGGATGGTCTCTGACTGCATTCGTCTGTTGCCAATGTTGCCATAAACACCAGATGGTGTTTCTGTGTCCGTTATATTGTCTTGCAACATCACGTTGACTCGATCCTGCTTCTAATATACCAACGGCTCGCAGACCCTCATTTTCGGACAGGCGTGGCATTTCGTAATTTTGTATAATTGCGTAATATTGTTGTTTTTCTGAATGGTTGTTGTCAGCACGATGCTAAACAATGCATATGGAATCCCGTTAACGCACATGTTTTTATACCCATTCTTGGTTAGTAAAATGCATGGGGCTTGCATAAAAGTCAACTTTTGCATGGAATGCATGCATATATAGGTTGCCATCATGGTAAATCACAGACCTCCACTCACACAAATCTCCATGATATCGAATGTTGTTTACCAGTTAACCTGCTTTGTGTGCTTTAGTAGCGGATGAATTATGTTTGGTTTTTTATGATCACTTTGCCTCATTGTTTTAATACCCAGTGAATTAGTATTTTACAATTTTACTGTCTCTCCACAAAACAAATAAATTATTAATAATACCACAACAGACATATACTGCTTTTAATATCAAACATATTCACTAAAGAAACAAGAATATAAGCACACTTTTTCCCAGATAAGTAGCTGTGTAGCGAAAAACTGAGCATGGGAAGTTGGTACTATTGTTGGAGAATTTTGGTGTGAGCAGGGCTGACACTAATTCTTCTAAAACTGCAAGGTGTGCTACAGGCAGTGGTGTCAGCCGGATACACCAGTGCCATGGTAAGATGGCTGACTACCTTAAAAAGGATATTGGTGGAGTAGGGACCCCAAGCAGTTTTTCCCATTTTTTCGGCGACATTCATGAGTTGAAGTTGAAGTATTATTGACTCCAGCAGTAACCAACCAGCACGCAATAGGTGACTCTGTAAGCTGTTTATTGGACAAAAAAGTCAATACTGTGTGAACCAGTGTATGGTTTACATGAAGGTGAAAATGTTGCTTGCAGGCAAAATGTTGGAGAAGTGAATCAGGCTGGGGCTCATCATTTATTTTTAAAAAGAAACCAATATAACAATGTTATCACCATCCCTAGTTGGGGGGCCCTTTGAAATTCGCGTGTTCATATAGTGAATATAGATAACTTCAGTAGTTTCAGGCAAAACTTGTCACTTTTGCAGACACTTTGCTGTCAGTTGAAAAGCACTGATCAAGGCCCCTAGCTCTGTAAACCATGAATTTTCGAACTTATCTAAGGTCAAGACAAGCAGTATCATTGTGTAACATTCCTTTACTGACTTAAACAGTTTTGGAGAAAAGCTGTCCCTTTTAAAAACAGGACGGGTGGATGGAAAGACAGGACGGACGAAAAGACGGACGGACAGACAAACTCTGTTCCAACAGCCCCCGCCCCACTTCGTGGCGGTGCATAATTACTGGACACATTGAAGTGACTTGGAAATTGGTAGAGGAAAACAGAGGAAACGAATGTAGCAGAATGTAAATATTGTGTATTTTAACTTACATATTTTAAACTTAGATAAATAATTTAGTTTATTGTATTTCAGTGTGGAAGACTGAGAAAAGTGATATTTTCATTGTAATGAACATAACACTTTGACGGAACTATTGTCATATAAGAGTTGCCCCCCATTAAATTGTCTCCCTTTATCGTAAGTCTATCCCACACACAGACTGTTGATTTCCTTCTTGCGTTAATTCAACAATGCAAGGCAAATTAATGACGGATGGTCATTTTTGGAGTTAATATCGTTTCTTGCCGTTAGTTATTCTCTCGAAAATGTTTCGTTAGAAACTGTGAGTTTCTCATTTTACTCGTATATCAAGCCTGTTCATTTCACAAAGAGCCATTTTGTTACTTGACCAAAGTCCATTCTTATGCGTCTAACAGCTGTCTCGCAGTTTTGTTCAATTTGATTTTGTATATGAGCATATCTAAAGATCCAAGAGCAAAGCATAGTGTTCGGGGTAACCCATTTGGATGTGTTCAGCGCCAATATAATATCTCTAATAAACTGCATTCTTGTGCATAATAATGAAAATTAATGAACCAATAAAATAATATATGAACATTAGTGTCCATTTGTAACCATTTTAGCCACTTGAATTACGGGAAAAACGAAGTAAAAAATATATATAAAATAAAAGTGCTTTCGTAAACTAGCGCTTGCTATAAAATGCGCGACCACAGGCTAAATTTAGTAAACAAATATTCAAAACTCTCTACACCGCTGGGCGTATTCAATGACATTGTGTGTAGAGATGATAGATCACTGGACCTTATGCAAACTCGATGACCCCAGTGTGACTGGCAACAAAATACTTCAAATTACGTCATAAGGTATTGTCACTTGTTTGAAACGTTTGTGGTACTGTATTCTAAAGGTAGGCCTATTTTTCTTCGGTATGTGAGGGTAAGAGATTATTGGCGGCAAGGAAATGAAATTTACGAAATTACTCTGCTACAGTAATGGACAGCATGACACGGCATGTAAATATATTTAACATAAATAGTCTTATTTACGTATAACAAAGCTAATTCAGATGTTACTCGAAAATGCATACCATTGAATATGACGTCAAAGCCAGGCCATCTTCATTCAAATGTCGACCAAAACTCACTTCTTTAGGCCAAAAACAATTAGAATAACCTCCCTTTTTAAGAGGCAAACCTAAAGCTTTGTAAAATCTTTGAACAGCCAAACACATTCATAGACTGCAGGCTGTATTTGGCCGCTACAATGAGCCTCGTTTAACAAAGTCACCTAGAAACAATTCAATGATACTTGACATTGAGTTAAAAATAACTGAAATTAACCAAAACACTTCTGTTGTCCACTTGATCATATTTATAGAATAACCCATGAGGTAAGAGTGATTACGGAAAATATGTCACGAGTAAAATTAATGTGGGTTATTCTATGTATTACCCATATTCATATTAAAGACATGTTTCAAGAAAAAAACAATCAACTGCCGCCGATCAAGAATCAGCTGTTTTGTATAAATCCGCGTGTAAAAAAAAACACTGTCCACGCACTCCAACCGCATTACTCAATCAACGTCTTGCTACGCGTAAAAATATAGTTCTGTTAACAAAACTTTAAAGATCACATTATTGCAGTTATATTTCTGTCTGAGTTACACAGCGTACACTATCTAACATTGATAAAAGAAGACAATTTTCAAAAAAGGTTCAACAGGCTTTTTAATCAAGGCTTGTTTTGACAAAACCTCTCATTGAAAAAGACAACAGCCGTCGTGCGTCAGCATGGATATGAATTTCACATTGAGAAGAGGAAACACGGAAAACCTGTCAATTTCTTCATGTGTCATTCGATAAAAATGCCAAAAACTGTATCAACAACATAGAAGGAATGTACAGAAGTCAAGTTTGATTGAGAAAAGTTACGAAAAGTAGGTAAACTTTGAAAAATACGATTGCTGTCATTGTCGGAAAGAATGACCCGACTTGACCCAGATTTGAGACAGCTGAAACCAAGTTCCAAGTTCCAAGTTTATTCCGGACAAGAAGTTCTGTAGACTACTCAGAGTCAGAATCAATGAGTATTCTTCTCTTCGGGGCCGGTAGATGACTGTCAACAGTGGAGTGACCCGAGTCGTTGGAAGAAATGGTGAAATTAAAAACCCCTCCATATATGGGCCCCGACAACAGGGTGTGCACCGTGTGCAGGGAATGGACGTCGTGTGTGATTTGTGACAAGTGTGACTGATGGGAAACTAGTGCATCTGGGATTCTGGATGGATTTGACAAACACGCTTGTGGAGTGGATATAGAAGATGACAGGATGTTGTTGATATCTTGATGTTGTGATTCATTAATTGTCGAATAACTGTTGATGGACTAGACGTTCTTGTGGCCAGAAACTTGCATAATCTGATGCGCT